CAGTAGGACAGACGGCGGGTGGGGCGGGACAAAGAACACAGGGGACGCTTAGTTGAGCCTTCACACGTGGAAGTTTTTTTATTGTTGAGAATGTACATAGCAAAGCATATTCCAATTAAGAACTGCCTGCACGTGCAGCACAGTGACGCTGATGGGGTCTGCAGGTTGTGCGGCCACGCCCCCTCCTTTGTGGGGTGTTCCTCCTCCATGGACATGAACTCACTGCCCCTAAGCTTCCTGTCTGACCTTTTGAGTTGTTGTCAATTTAGTTGGCCCTGGTGGCATGGTAGTTAAAGCACTTGTTTGAACCCATCAGTGACTCCTTGAGAGAAAGAGAGGCAGTCTGCTTCCACAAAGATTGACAGCCTGGGAAACCTTGTGGGACAGTTTCACTCTGTCCTCTAGGGGCGCTGCGAGTCAGAATGGGCTCCATGGCAGTGGGTTTGATTTGGGCTTTGCTTCCACGAAGATTGACGGCCTGGGACCCCTGTGAGGCACTTCTCCTCTCTCTCATCGAGTTGCTGTGAGTTGAATTTAATTCCACAGCAGTGGGTTTTGGATTTTGGGTTGTCAATTTGATCCATACAGTAAGTTTCTTAGGAGCACAGAGCTCTCAGAGACAGTCTTCACTTGTTAAGCTAGATGCTGGTGTAAAGACAGATGGCCGCCTCAGACCTGCCCGCCTGACTTCAGGAGCGGGAGAGGCCCCTCAGCCAAGGCTGGCTCCTGTGCGTTGGAGGTCAGGCACACCTCCAGCCTTTCTACCCATTCTGACTCCAGCCGTCCACCCCACGCACTCTCTACTTCTCTGCTGTGTTCGATCATTTGTTGTAATGGCCACACAGGACTCAGTGACTGTACTCACAGTTAATGAGCTTTCGAGAAGTGTCAGGTTACAGTTCAGGATGAGTATCCACTTAGAACTCAGACGAGCCACTCAGGAGACAGTTCTTCATTCAACCTGCCTTGCTCAGCCCTCAGCCCTCACTCTCAGCTCCTGGCTGGCCCCTGCCCTATTTGAGCAAGTTAGCCAGACCAGTAGGTGACCGGGGGCACTACCCTCTACCAGGAAGCCTCCTGCCCAAAGGCACTCAGCTCTCTTCCTCCTGGGTCAACAAGCCTGTCTGTCAAGCCCGTGTGTCTGTGCTGCTGTGTTGGGGTATCACTGGTGTTACAGGTCTGTCTGCCTCCTGGGTCTAGGAGGTTCTCAGTGCAGGGACTCTGGAGCCAAAGGACACATTCCTGAAGAGCTCCTGGTTCTTGGTGGTGGTGAGGTCCCCCCTCCATCCTCTGGCACTGGCCCCGTTAAGCCTAGCAGGGTGGCAGAACTGACCGATCCTCTACAATGATTCCATGCACCTGATTTGCGTTAGCTAAACTGTCTGATCCCCTTGGTGGGAGATAAGCAGTTACTTGCACAGTTCTGCCATTTTGTGGGAGTTACAAGACCAAGACTAGAAGGGCCATGCAGAAGCGATGCCCTGCACTGTGCTTGTTTGATTTAAAGAATGCCCCAGAGGCTATTTTTGGTTTATGGTTTCAGGTGTAAACATGATCTTAGGGCAGTAGTTTGGGGGTTCAGCCAGCCTCTGTGGTGTAGAAAGTTGGATTCCAGGAAAATTTGGAATTCTTTTCCCAGTGGATAGTTTTTGAGCCTGGCTCTGCGCTTGGCTCTGGATGAGGATCAAGGGTGAGGCCGACATGACCTCCCAGAACCCAGTAGGATTGGGAAGGTAGCCACCCCACGAGCCAGGACAAGCCTGATGCTCACGGAGAAGGAGAAGTACAGAGAGCAGGAAGAGCCCAGCCCGGGCGGCGCCGGAAGAAGAGGCAGGCGGGTGGGGGTGGAACATTGCCCGCCGAGGGCAGGAGGAAGCAGGGCCCTCCATGTGCCTGTGCTGTGCATGGGGCCAGCATGCTGCTCGTCCCCGCCTCCCGGCCATCTCCGTGGCCTCTCTGACCCCCTAGTCTGTGCCGTTACACACTGAGCCTGGCATCTCCCCTCGGTGCCCTGACTGGGGGGCAACTCAGACTAAGGAGAGGAGACCAAGTTTTGGCCCTCAGACCCACCATGTCTTCTGTTCAGCAGGGGCACCCCCTGAGGTCAGTGAGCCCCCAAGCCCTCTAAACCGGGGTAGCAGCATCTCCCTTGAAGAGACCCCTTAATAGGCTCCACATACGATATGCTGTGGCCGTTCCTTGCTGTCAACTTGGCTGCAGCTCCTGGCGGCCCTGCGTGCGCGGGGAACGTGGCTCCCCAAGGAGTTCAAGGCTCTGACCGTTTGGAAGCAGGTCACCAGGTCTTTCTTCCAAGGCTCCTCTGGGTGGACTCAAATCGGGAGCCTTGTGGTCAGTAGGTTAGGACTTAGCTGCTCGTGCCGCTCAGGGACTCACATATAATACGGGGTTTATCATCGTCACTGTCTGACTCCTGTGGCTGCTGTGGCATAGTACCATCAACCTGGTGCCTTAAACCTACAGAAACCCATCATCTCTCAGTCTGGAGACGGGGAGTCCACAGTTGGGGTGTGGGTGGCTGCGTTCCCTCCAGAGGCTCTAGGGAAGGGCCTTCCTGGTCTCTCCCCGCTCTGTGGTCCCAGTGGGTCCCGGCTTGCGGGCCATCACTCCAGTCTCTCCCTCTGTCGTCATGTGGACGTCTCCTCGATGTGTTTCTTATAAAGACCTTGTCATCATTGTAGGGCCACTGGATAATCCAAGATGGCCTCCTTAAGCTCCTTCACTAAATGACAGCTGCAAAAACCCTTTTGCCGAATGAGGTCACAGGCTCTGGGGGTTAAGATGTGGGGCCACAAGGCAGCCCATGAGGGCCACCTGTCACACCGTTGGCCTTATGAGAAGGCCCCAGGACATGGGAGGCGAGGTGAGGCAGGGGGGTGGGTAGCTCTGTCTGATCACAGCCCATCCCTCAGCATCTTCCGCTCTGAGGTCGTCAGGACGCCCCACCAGGCAGTTCTGGCTGCTGAGGACTTGGACCTGCTCAGTGGGTATGGAGCTCTGTTTTGTACATATTTAGGTTAAGAATAAATATCCATTCACTCATTCATTGCATTTCTGAAATGCCCATCACTGCACCCGAGATGGGGACTGTCAAGGTGAATATGATACGACCCTTCCTCCCAAGAGGCTCACCAGGTACAGGGGAAGTGGGCATACACAGGAGAGTTGTTGCTGGGTGCCACCGAGTCGGTTCTGAGTCAGCAACCCCCTGTGACAACTGCCCCATAAGGTTTCCTAGGCTGTCATCTTTACAGAGGAGATCTGGTGGCACAATGGTTAAGCACTTGGCTGCTAATGGAAGGGCTGACAGTTTGAATCCACCAGCCCCTCTGCAGGAGAAAGATGAAATAGTCTTCTTCCGTAAAGATGACCCAATGCTGACCAGGTTTGCTGGTCTGATAGAGCCTGGTGAGACCTCCAAGACTGTGGTCCCTAGCTGCCCTTCAGGTCTGGAATTGAACCCACTCCTGTGGCTTCCAGGCAAATAAAAGACAGGCATATAAGCCGAACATTTACATTAGGTAGATACACTCCTTGGAGAGAACAATCATGGGAGGATAGAAGGGCAGTGTATGCACAGGGAGACAGCTCTGGGAGCAGGAGTACATGGACGGATGGACACAGGGAAGAGGTGACTATGGGAAGGAAGTGGGAAGGGAGCTGTTGCATTATGGGAAATTGCAGTCAATGTTATGAGACAAAGTATATGTTAACTGCTGTATGGAAAATGAATTTGCTCTGGAAACTTTCACTCAAATCACAATAAAAATTAAAAAAAAAAGATTACCCAATGTTGTGTAGTTGATTCTGATTCATAGCACCCCTAGAGAACAGAGTGAAACTGCCCCATAGGGTTTCCAAGGCTGTCAATCTTTACAGAAGCAAAGCCCAAACAAAATCCACTACCATGGAGTCCATTCTGACTCACAGCGCCCCTAGAGAACAGAGTAGAACTGCCCCACAGGGTTTCCAAGTAGCTCTGGTGGTGTAGTGCCTAAAGCTCTTGACTGCTAACCAGAAGGCTGGTGGTTCAAACCCGCCAGCCACTGCTCAGAGGGAAGACTGGGCAATCTATTTCCGTAGTGATAATACTGCCTTGGAAACCCAAGGAGGGGTTGCTATGAGTTGGATCCGACTCGACTGCAGTGAGGTGGTTTTTTTTAGAAGTCAACTGCCTCATCTTTCTCTCATGGAGCGGCTGGTGGGTTTGAAATGCTGACCTTTCAGATAGCAGCCAAACTCTTTAACTCCGTAAAGATTCCAGCCTTGGAAACACCATGGGGCAGTTCTGCTCTGCCCTACAGGGTCACTATGAGTCAGAATCCACTCGATGGCAATGGGTGTAGTTTTTTCTTTAATCTTAACAGCAGACCTCCAGGTCTTTCTCCTATGAAGCCACCGGGTGGGTTCGAACCACTGACCTTTTGGTTGGCTGCCAAGCACTTACCTGTTGTGCCACCAGAGTATCTCTTATAGAAGAGTAAGTGGGCCACAGTGTCCCCTGAGCTGTGACAGTAGTATGTGTGGGGATGGGGTAGGATGGGAAGAGATGGTTTCAATTCTGCATAACAGACTTCATAGAAAAGGTGCCTTTTTTTTAGAGTTGTGTTTTTAAGGAAGGAGCTCTGATGATGCACTGGTTAAAGTATTCCGCTGCTCACCAATAGTTTGGCAGTTTGAACCCATCATCCACTCCTCGGGAGAAAGACAAGGGAGTCGGCTTCTGTGGAGAGTGACAGCCTTGGAAACCCCATGGGGCGGTTCTGCTCTGTCCCCTAGGGGCGCCGTGCTTGGGAATGGACTGCAGGCTGTGCAGCCTCTGGAGCAGAGTGCGGGGCCTCACCTGCGGCAGGCCATCACTTCTCCTCTGTTGGTTGTTCCAGGTCTCTGGGAGGAGCCAGGTGCCTGGTGGACTCCCATCGCCTCCAGCAGCTGTGCTCAGGACGTGACCCCCCCACCGAACCTGTGCCCCAGAGCCCACGATGTCCAACCCCTTCCTGAAGCAAGTCTTCAACAAGGATAAGACATTCCGGCCCAAGCGCAAGTTTGAGCCGGGCACGCAGCGCTTTGAGCTGCACAAGCGGGCGCAGGCGTCGCTGAACGCGGGCCTGGACCTGCGGCTGGCGGTGCAGCTGCCGCCAGGGGAAGACCTGCACGACTGGGTGGCTGTGCACGTGGTGGACTTCTTCAACCGCGTCAACCTCATCTACGGCACCGTCAGCGACGGCTGCACCGAGCAGTCCTGCCCTGTCATGTCAGGCGGCCCCAAGTATGAGTACCGCTGGCAGGATGAGCGTGAGTTCCGCAAGCCCACTGCACTGCCCGCCCCCAAGTACATGGACCTGCTGATGGACTGGATCGAGGTGCAGATCAACAACGAGGACCTCTTCCCCACCAACGTCGGTGAGTCGGGGAGGAGGGGCGCCGTGTCCCGGGGCTGCCCTAACTGACATGCATCTCTCAAGAGCTGAAACCCAGTCTCCTGGGCCAGCAGCTGAGTCCAAAGCAGGGTCTCAGGGGGTCAGTGCCTTTCTTGTCAGTAATTGCAGGCGTCTCTTGGTTCCTTGGAACCCTGGTGGCACGGAGGTTAAGCGCTTAGCTGCTAACTGAAAGGTTGGTGGTTCAAACCTACCAATGCCTCCATGGGAGAAAGACCTACGTGATGTGCCCCTGTAAAGATGACAGCCTAGGAAACCCTGTGGGGAGGTTCTAGCCCATCACGCAGGGTCGCTGGGAGTCGGACTCAACGGCACCCAGAGACAATAACTTGGTTCCTTGGCTTGTGGGTGGTCCTTACATGGTATCTGTCTAACCTGTCTGTGTGTGTGCACATGTGTGCATCTGTCCCTATGCGTGTGTGGGTGTCCCTGTGTGTGTCCCTGCCTGTGAGTGTGTGTATGTCTATCCCTGTGTGTGTGTCTGTCTATACACATATGGTGTATGTGTGTGTATATGTCTGTTCTTGTGTGTGCCTGTCCCTATCTGTGTGTATGAGTGTCTGTCCCTCTGTCTGTCTGTCCCTGTGTCTGTCTGTCTGTCTGTGCCTGTCTGTGCATGTGTATGTGTCCTGTGTGTATATGTGCCTGTCTGTGTGTGTGTGCCCTAGTGTTTGTATGTACGTGTCTGCCCTTGTCTATGCATGTGTCTGTCTGTCTGTCCCTCTGTGTGTGTGTCCACGGCTGCGCTGTGCTTTCTGTAACTCAGGAGTGATTGGCTTTAGAACCCACCCTCCACTCATGGACAGCTTCGATTAGGTTACGTCAGACAGACTGCTTGTTGTTGTTGTTATATGCTGTCGAGTTGGACCAGGCTCATAGTGACCCCTCCTTGGGTTTCTATGGAAGTAGATTGCCCAACCTTCCTTCTGAGGAGTGGCTGGTGGGTTTGAACCGCCAGCCTTCTGGTTAGCAGTCAAGTGCTCTAGGCACTACGCTACCAGAGCTCCTATGTCAGACTGCAGTCTCATGTAACAATGTGACAGTACACTACAGCCACAGGTACGAGGACCAGGATTGTGTTACCTGTCTTGGGGGACAGCACAAGCTGTGGCCCAGGGTGTGTGCGGCCGTTCTTTCTGTGGCCCTATACCCTCAGGCCGTCCCTATGCTTCCTGTGTTGTTGGGCGCAGAGCTGTGGACAGGCCCGCAGGGGGCCAGGACGAGCACACTCTGCCCTCTCCACACCCGTTTTGCTGTGTTGCTGCTGTCCATGGTCGTGGATCCCGACTCCTGCCAGCCCCACGCGTGCCCTGTAGAGCTCTGCTCCACAGCGTTTTTATGGCTGGGACCTTTCGGAAATGGGTCACCAGGCCGTTCTTCCGCGGCTCCTCTCAGTGAGTTCAGACCGCCAGCCTTTCAGATGGTAGTTGGGCACTTAACCGTGTGCACCCCCAGGACTTCCTTTCTCAAGAACAACTTTCTGAGACGTGACTGACTCCCACCCCAGAGTTCGTCCGTGGACAGTGCACACGTCAGGGGTTTTAGGACCCTCACAGAGTTGTGCAGCCATTGCTACCTAGTTGCAGCCCAAGAAGCAGCCCTGTGCCTGTCAGCAGGCACCTCCCACTCCCTCCCCCACCCGGCAACCTTTGATCTGCACTCTGCCCCTGTGGTTCTGCCTGCCCTGGACGTTTCATGTCAGTGGGCTCAGACCCTGTGGCCTCTTGCCTCTGGTTCTCTCACTGAGCGTTGTGTTTTCGAGGTTCTTCTGTGTTGTGGCGTGTGTCTGAGCCTCATTCCTCTTTAGGCTGAGTACCTCTCCCTTTTGTGTCCATGCACTCCTCTGTTGACGGACACTTGGGCTGGTTTCATTTGCCATCTGTGAGACACAGTGCTCCTGTGTGTACAAGCTGCTGCATGGATCATGTTCTCTGGTCCCTTGGGTATCGTCCTAGGACAGGCAACAGGTAAAACGCTCCCAGCTACAGCAGAGTTCTTGGTCGGAAGGACAAGCAACTCACAGAGCCATGGGAAGGACCGCAGAGCCCAGCCAGGACAGGAGACCCGGGCAGCTCGCAGAGTCACGGGGAGGACCGCGGAGCCCGGCTGGGACAGGAGACCCGGGCAGCTCACAGAGTCACGGAGAAGACCACGGAGCCCGGCCGGGACAGTAGTCGAGGATGCTGTGGCATGAGGAGGCTGTGGCATGGCAGGGTCATTTCCCTCGCAGGGTCTTCCTAGACCTCAGTCTCTGCCCGTCTGTGTAGCCCCCTCCTGTCACCCGGGACCATCCCTGTGTTCCCACTTGAGCTACAGGCAGGAACATACTGCTGGAGCCCAGTGCCGGGGGAGGGAAGCCTGCCTCCCCCTTGAATCCTGCAGCCCACTTATCTTGGGCTTCTTCCTGAACAACACGGGAGCTCAGAGGCTGGACTGCCGACAGGGCTCCTCCCAGTCACTGGGGCGTTTGGAGAAGACGAGCTTGTGATCAGAGAAGACAACAGTGCATTCTGTGTCGAGCCAGTACCGGGACTCTAAGTAGTGGGAGAAATCAGAGGTGGTGGAATCAAGATCCAGTGGGCCCCAGAGGGCTTTGGGGAACACTCAGGATGGAGCTGGATCACAGAGGGTGCTCCTGAGCCGCCTGCCCGGGGCCACTCTGCTGGTGAAGCCCTGTAGCAGCTGTGTAACCTAAAGGCTTTCCTACCGGGTGCCTTGGTGTGGATGGAATCAGTGGGTGCAGGCCAGCCTAGGCCCAGGGACACAGGTGGACGGCTTCCCTCTGCCTTTGGGGTGTAACATTATACTCACCACCTGGGTGCTACCACCCTCCTCACCATTTGTCTGCTGTTTCCCATTCTCCTTTTTGAACCCACCGGACCACACCCACTTCCATAGACATACTGCACTTCCTGTGGACATGGGGCCTTCCTTCTACCTGGAACATGTCTGCCACCACAGTCACCCCTCACGGTTAGCATCCCCTCGCCTCCCACTCAGCGAAAAAGTCCTTCCTGGAGGCCTTCTCAGATGTTCACACAGGCTGCAGGGCTGTACCCAGGTCGACACTTGGCCTGCACAGCCCCAGAGTGAACCTTCTCACCTTTGCCAGCTGGTCTCCGTCCTGGCTTGTCAGCTCAGCCCTTGTGGTGCAAAAGCAGCTGTAGACAATATTTTAACAAATGAGCACAACTGTGTGCCAATCACCCTTTATTTACAAAACCAAGTGGGTGGCCCAGTTTGGCTCAGGAGTTTCTTTAAGACCCTGGGTCGGAGTGCCATCACAAGCATGCAGAGAAGCCCCTGGCCTCCCCTTCTTCGTCCTGAGCAGCATTTCTCTCAGTCATCGCTCCCTGTCCTGGAGCGCCTCTGTCCGTCTTGGCCCAGCGTGCCCACTGCTCTTGGAGGGCAGAAGGACGGGCCGTCTTGCCGGCAGCCCAGAGCCATGTGGTTTGTGCTGAGCCAGCCCTGCACTCACCCTCCTCTGCTTGCTGTGGCTCAGCGTCCCTCTGACTCTATCGCCAGTGTTAGAGGTCATTTGTCCCTGGGTTGACCGGTCCCTGGACCTGATTACCCACGCAAAATACCACCAAGTGGCCAGCTTAAGAGGACAGGAGTGAATTTTTCCCCAGTCCTGGAAGCCAGGCGCCAGGGCCTCTGCGTGGGGCTCACAGGGAGGGGTGGCACCATGCCTTTCTCCCACTTCTGGGGCAGTGGGATCCCCCTGTATCTGGGCTTGTGGACGGATTCTCACTGGTGTCCTCTGGGTGGCACTGTCTCCAGGTCTGTCTTTCTTATCTTATTTTTTAATATTTTTTTTTACTGTGTTTTAGGTAAAAAATTTTCACAGCAAATTGTTTCCCTTTAACATTTTTTCTAAGATTGTCCCCTGCCTTTGGTCAGTTTCCCCAATGTGTCCGCGTTCTCACGGTCTCTGTCCTGCCTGCTCTGTTTCCACTGACAGCTTCCCTCCCCGTCTCCCCGTCTCCCCTTTGCCTCTGGGTGGAGGTCGGCTGGTTCATCCCACAGAGGGTTACTTCAGGGAGAACGTTGCTCCCGGTGCCGCTTTATAAGCCAGTCTGTTACTTGGCTGAAAGGTGACCTGAAGAAGTAGCTCCAGTTCCCTGGTCAAAGGTGACAGTCTGGGGGCTTTCTCTAGTGTCCGTCAGTCCGGTAGGTCTGGTCTTCTAAGGGATTTGAGTTTTGTTCCACGTTTTATCCCATTCTATCCGGGCCCTTCTGTTGTGTCCCTGGTTAGAAGGGTTGGCAGTGGTAGCTGGGCACCATCTAGTTCTTCTGGTCTCAGATCAGCAGAGGCTGTGGGTCGTGGGCTGTTAGTCCCGTGGACTCGACTCTTTTCTGAGTCTTTGACTGCCTACATGCTCGCTTTCTTCACTCAAGTTGTATCTCAAGTGGCTGCTCGCGAGCCATCCTTCCCTTTTAAAGGACACCATTGGGGAGCCTCAGAACCCACTGTGGTTTGGATGACCACATGGCAGTTAACTGGTCACCAAAGAGAAGCCCTCTTTGCAGCACAGTCACATCACAGGCACAGGGGCTCGGACTTCACCAGCTCTCTATGGGGCACAAGTCCATCCAAACCTGGGGCCTCGTGGGCGATCATGTAGCGGTGTCTCTGGAGAGTAGAACAAAGCAATGTCTGCACGTGGCCTCTGACCCTGGCGACCCCAGGGGTGCTGGAGCAGGGCTGTACTCCATCAGCTCGCAGTGGCTGACACATCAGAATCAGACGGCCAGGCCTTTCTCCTGGGCTCCTCTGGGTGGACTCGAACCTCCCATCTTTCAGTGAGCAGCCGGGCGCACTCACCGTGTGCAGCCCCCCAGGGCCGCCCCAGCTGTAGAACCAGAGATTGGTCAGTCTCCCTCACCTGTCAGATGGATGGGGAAGCAAGCCCTTGGTCGCGGATGCTGAATGAACTTTCCACAGGGCTCTTCCCCAGGAGCCCTGTGTTCTGTCTACTGCAATGCCAACACCCTCTGGGGCTCACGGCCAGCTCCTCATGGCTGGGGCAAAGCCTCAGTTGTTCCTTAAGTGGTTATACAGAGACAAACCAGCACAGTGACTGGCACATCTGTGCTGAAGCTGGGACGACAGCCCCTCAGCCACATGGGAGTCTTGAGTGCACTTTCCTTCCCACTTCCCTGTTTACCTGCACAGGTCTAGGCATTGCCCAGAATGGAGCAGCCGTGCCCTACTCAGCTAAGTTAACTGTCCCTATGGTCCAGGGGCCTGCTGTAAACTCTGCCATCGAGAGCTGTCTTGCACGTGTCCCGTGGACACTTGCTGGCCAAGCTCCCCAGGAAGCTTTCCTGCCAGCGGAATCCGTCCGTGGGATCGTGCAGTGATGCTCAGGCACATCCTGCCAGCCTTGCCCTTCCTGTGGGAGTGCTTAGCAGTTTCACCCCCAGTGTTGGTGGGGGTGGCAGCTGGCCTTCACCTGGTGCCTTGACCACCTCTGTCTTCTCCAGCCTGACTCCTGGGGTCCGTGCTTCTTGACTAGGATGAGGAGCCTTGGGTGAGACAAACCCAGCTGCAGACGGAGCTCTGCTCCTAACTGGAATGTCAGCAATTGGAGTCCGCCCAAAGGCACCTTGGAAGGAAGGCCTCGCAATCTTCTGAAATCAGCCATCGAAGACCCCGTGGAGCCCAGCCCTGTCCTGACATCTGTGGAGTCACCGTGCATTGGAATTAATTAAATGGCCAGTGGTGGTCTGCTTCTATAGCGACCCTGTGTACAACAGAACCAAACTGTGCCAGGCCCCGCGCCAGCCTCATGGCCTTTGCTGTGCTTGGGCCCATCATCGCAGCCACTGTGTCAACCCATCTGGTTGGGAGTTTCCTCTTTTTTGCTGACCTACTTTCCCAAGCTTGAGACCCTTCTCCAGGGAAGGGTCCCCCTGACAATGTGACTAGAGTGTGGGGGAGGAGGTCTTCACCATCTTCATCTCCAGGGAGGGAGCATTCTGGCTGCATTCCTTCCAGGACAGATTTGTGCCTTCTTCTGCAGGCCACGGGACCTTCAGTGTTCTCCACTAACTCTAACTCAAAACTCACTGCCCTCAGTCGGATCCGACTCATAGCAACCCTTCCTTGGGTTTCCGAGGCGGTATCACTATGGAAATAGTAGATACCACAATTCGAATACTTCAGTTCTTCTTTGATCTTCCTTATTCATTATGCAGCTTTCACATGCATATGAGGTGATTGAAAATTGCAGTGGCTTGGGTCAAGCACACCTTAGTCTTCAATGTGACATCTTTGCTCTTCAATACCTTAAAGAGCTCTTTGGTAACAGATTTGCCCAGTGCAATACATCATCTGATTTCTTGACTGCTGCTTCCATGGGTGCTGATTGTGGATCCAAGTAAAATGAAATCCCTGACAACTTCAGTCTTCGTTTATCATGACGTTGCTTATTGGTCCGGTTGTGAGGATTTTTGTTTTCTTTATGTTGAGATGTAATCCACACTGAAGGCTGTAGTGTTTGATCTTCCTCAGTAAGTGCTTTGAGTCCTCCACTTGCAGCAAGCAACACTTTCTTCCAGGACCTCAAGCAGATTGCTCCTCATAGTGTCTGTGAGGACATAGATTCTCTCTGCATCAAAATGTCTACTGAGCCTGACCCTCCTTTGCTTTACCCTTGTGGAGTCGCCTCCTGTCTGGCCACTATCTGGCCCCCATGTCCCCAATGTCCCTGTTCATTCAGGCTTCCCAGCCTCACCAAAGTGCCGTGCCCCCTCTCCAAAGTCCCCAGGCTCTAGTGTGGGGAGGAAGGTCTCCATCTTGCTGCCCCGCCAGGGCTGTGCCCTGCAAAGTGGGTTCATGAGTGGTCCCTGCCCCAGGAGGGACAGGTGGGGCTGTGTGTGCACGGGACAGCGTGAGTCCCCTGAAGTGACAGAATCCCAAGATTATTAACCTCTCTGAGCCTTCATCTGTCCAGTGCCACTGGTGCCCTCATCCTGGCACTGGGAGGGGTCAGTGGCAGTACGATCTTGTGATGTGGGCCCTGGCCACATCTGCTGACTGCCCTCCTGCCCTGCCCCTCTGCCAGGCACGCCGTTCCCCAAGAACTTCCTGCCAGTGGTGAAAAAGATCCTGTCGCGGCTGTTCCGCGTGTTTGTGCACGTCTACATCCACCACTTTGACCGCATCGCTCAGATGGGCTCCGAGGCGCACGTCAACACCTGCTACAAACACTTCTACTACTTTGTCCGGGAGTTCGGCCTCATTGACACCAAGGAGCTGGAGCCGCTGGTGAGGCCATGGGGTGGGCAGCATGGGCAGCGGGAGTCTTCAGCCCGTCAGGGATGGGGGGCTCAGCTGGGCAGGAATGAGGGGGCCCAACCAGGCAGGGATGGGGGGGCCCAACCAGGCAGGGATGGGGGGCTCAGCCGGGCAGTGGGGGTCCAACCAGGCAGGGATAGGGGGCTCAGCCGGGCAGGAATGAGGGGGCCCAAGCCTGGCAGAAATGGGAGGGCCTCAGCCGGGCAGGGATGAGGGGGGTCCCAGCTGGGCAGTGATGGGGGCTTGCACACCACCCACCCAGCCACCAAGGTCAGTGCACTCCCAGCAGCAGCCTGAGAGTCCCGGGCAGGGCCAGTGTCCATGCCCTGGGCCCAGTGGGGTCAGCAGAAGGACCTTGTGGGCCCCCAGGTGTCTCCCTGGCAGGGGCCATGCTCTAGTTACTGGCCCCACCTCGTAGACCTGTCACCTTGGGGACAGGAAGTGGGCTGGTCCCCACGAGGGAGGCTTTGGTGACAGGACTGACTGCACAGAAAGAACGAGAGCAGACGCCAGAGGGCCCACAGAAAACACTGTGGGGAGCACAGTCCTGGTCCCCAGCCGGATCCCCTCCTCCTCACAGCCCTGAATTGTCTGTAGTCCCCACCCTCCTCCACTTATCGAGGTCGGGAGAGACCTGCTGGACCAGAGGCCATTCGGCCTCCACCTGGCCTGGTGTCTTTACGCCACCAGGATTTACCTGGATCTCATCAAAGGGCATGAACCTCAGGGCCCCAGGATTAAAGTCTGGCAACCAGGGGTGGGGTCAGCACAGGGAAGCTTCAGCTCCAGGCATTTGGGCCCCGATATCAGAGGTGGTGGCCGCTGTGTGGTCAGGCGTGCTCATGCCATTTCTCAATGTGGGAATTCCATGTCCCCACCTGGACGCTTTGCTCCCACACTGGGATGGGGGCATCTGCGGGGAGAGGGCGTGGCCACAAGCCCCCCAGAATGGAGGGGGGCGTCCTGCTTCTGGTATTCCACTTTAATGACTCCTATCCCCACCACAGAGAAAAACCCCTGAATCGTAGGGCTGCCACACCCCCGCTAACCCATAATGGGAAGGGTCCTCAGAGACTGCTGACCCCTCCCTGCAGTTGCTGTGCCTGTGGGAGGGGCTGTCACTGGCCGCTTCCAAGGGGCACTGAGTCTTGGACAGAGATCACCCGGCCTGCAAGGCTGGGAATATGCATCCTCTGACCCTTACAGGAGAGGTTTGCTAACCCCTGGTCTGTGGAGTACTGTTGTCTGTTTTATTTTTGTAAATTTGTTTGTCATTTGTGTAACCTCCTTTGTGGACTGTCTGCTGATTCCTCACCTTCTTCTGGGCACTTGTTCCCAACAGAAGGAGATGACCGCACGAATGTGTCACTGAGTGCCACAACCAACCCCAGGCCCGGCTGCCACCACATGAGCACTGTGCGGACCCACAGACTCTCAGACGATGGTGGTTTTGGACATCGAGGTCTGTTTTTCTAACCCGAGCACCTCAGCAGAGTCGCCCTCTGTCGGACCCCAGACTGCCCTGGCTGGGTCGTCGGATTTCCGTCTCCCTCCCATTCTCAGGTGGCCACAGTGGACCCCAGCCTCCCTGAGCCTCGGCCTCTTCCTCAGTGTCACGAGGAGGGGGCACTTCTCTGTAGCACTGTGTGTCGTCTGTCAGCAAACGGAAAAATCCACTTTGCTTATAACCACTCAAGTGTGCCACGAAGCCTGGAGATCCTCACCAGAGCTGTTTCTGGTACACGGTTCCCCTTCTGAAGGTTCTGCCCCAGACCCTACCCACCCCACCTAGACCTGCGCCTGCAGCCCTGCTGCGGCTGGTGTCCCCTTGCCCAGAGACCCCCAACCTGGGAGGGGAGAAGCAGGGGCCTCCTTTGAACTGTGATCCCCTTCAGCCCCTCAGGCACCCCCGGGTTCCTCTTCCATGAGAGGTACGACTGGGACCCGGCTTCCTTCACACTCTCAGCTCCTTCTGGATCCAATGTCGTGCCCTTCCTTCTGATCCTCCCAAATGTTCACATAACTTGGGTCTCGTGGCCTGGAGCCTACGCCTGCATCCCAGCTTGAGAGTTCTCGTGCAGGGTGTTTACTAAAGGTCCTTCCAACCCAGAAAAACAAAGCCACTCACTGCTTGGGGTCGGTTCTGACCCACAGCGCCCCTAGAGGACAGAGTGGAAGAGCCCCACAGGGTTTCCAAGGCTGTCACTCTTCATGGAAGCAAAGCCCAAAGGAAACCTACTGATGTGGAGTCAACTGTGACTCACAGCGCCCCTAGAGGGCGGGGGGAATGGCCCCAAAGGGGTTCCAAGGCTGTTAATCTTCACAGGGAAGCAGACTGCTTCATCTTTCTCCCACAAAGCGGCTGATGGGTTCAAACCACTGACCTTTTGGCGAGCAGCCAAATCTTTGAACCACTGTGCCACCAGAGCTCCTCAGAGACCTTTCTTAAGTCTTAAAAGTGTTATCTGTATATAGTCTCATTTATGATCACCTCAAAATACTTTTTTTGAAAACAAGTTTTTTAACCTGTAGCTAACGATGTCCTGGAGGGAAGCCCTGGGCGGCACAGACAGTTAAGCCCTCAGCTGCTCTCTGGGTGGCTGGCGGCTCGAACCCACCCCGAGGTGCCTTAGGAGACAGGCACGATGATGAGCTTCCGAAAGGTTGCAGGCCTGAAACCCTGTGCAGTGCCGTCCTGCTGTGACACACCTGGGGTCTGTGAGTCAGTCAGCTGGAAGCCACTGGCCAAACAAGGAGAAAAGCATCCTACAGCAATAGCCTGCCTTCATGAGCGATGCCTGGTTGAACCTTCTTCACTGTGCCTCTGTCTCCGGTTTACAGCCTTGGACTGCTGCCTAGAGTCTGGACACAGCCTTTCTGGAACTTTCTATGGAAACCCTTTGTTGTTGGCATGACCCCCAGAGGCTGTGGGACCAAACCCAAAACCACTGCCGCCCTGTAGAGCACTGGAAGGTGTGACGGGGTCCTTGGGTCAGGTTGCTCGGGAATAACCAAACAAAACCACAGTTGGGGTCCAGCTAAGCCCCCGACCCCCCGCCAGCACTGTTGTCACTCCCTCTCCCTCTGGACATCCTTTCAGCCCAGACCTGCACATGTTCCCAGACCAGCAGGTCTCTGACCCTTCTTGGGTGTTTTGGGATGGTCACCAAGGGGCGGGCACTGCCCAACTCTCCTGGCTCCCTCCCCCAGAAATCTGACGAGCAGCGAGCCTGGATGTTGCCTCCTGCTGTCCCCCTGAGCTCCAGCATCGGCAGTTCAGCTCTGGCAGCCGCTGGCTGGAAAGAAATCAGAGATGAGCCTTTGGGGAGTTCCTAGGAGCAGACACTGCTACACCGAATTTGTTTCTCTATCCCCGTGAAAGCCAGAGCATCCTTCAGCAGGAAGGAGCCCTGCGGTTAATGGTTAAGCACTCGGCTGCTAACCCAGAGGTTGGTGGTTCAAGCCCACCCAGCAGCTCTGCAGGAGAAAGACCTGGTGATCTGCTCCCATAAAGATGACAGCCTAGGAAACCCTACAGGGCAGTTCCACTCTGTCATGAGGGTCGCCGCAAGTCTGATCAACAGAAAACAACAACAGGCACCAAATGTTTCAAGCAGTCCAGCATGTGGTGCAGATTCAGGGAGGCTAGCCTGCTCCAGCACAGGGTGGAGCGAGAACAGTCATTGCCCGGGGCCACCACCGCTTTATTCTGCCACATTGAAAAGCACCCCAGCCCTCCTATACTCTCCTGTGTGGGTATGGACATCAGAATAAGCTGCATCCTGTTCAGATTTGGCTACGGGTTGTCTGTTATGAGTTCCTAGGTGGAAGGCCTGGCATTGGGAAGTGTCACCTAACTGAGGCCATGTAAGACTGTCCCCAAGGATGTGACCATCGATTCTTGGGGACTGAGAAAGTCTTAGCCATCACAGTGGTTTGTGGCCCTCAAAGGGCCCTGAGACATAACAGATGCCCATGTCTCTGTCTGCAGTATTGAAATGTCTTGTGGGGGTGGTGACTCATTGCTCGGATTTGCTGTTTCCACACAGGAGACCTGCGTTCAATTCCCAATGATAGACCGATGCCCAGGATATTGGCGGTACTGAAATGGCTTATGTGGGTGGTGGCTCCCTGCTAGAATTCTCGCCTTCTGTAAGGAGACCCGCGTTCACTTCCCCGCTGGTACACTCTGTGTGCAGCTGTCACCCTTCTGTGGGTGCAGGTGTGCGTGACTCTGATGCTGAGCAGGTTTCAGTGGAGCCCCCAGACTCAGACTGGGAAGAAAGGCCTGGTGACTGACTTGTGAAAACCAGCCAGTCAGACCCTGCAGATCACCACGCTCTGACCTGAAACCGACCCTAGGGCGGCCCTGCACTGGGGAGTGTTGCGTTCTGTCCTGCATGGGGTTACCATGAGTCAGGGGCCGACTGCTCAGAGATCGACTGCAGCTCACGGCAGTGTGTGTGCGCGCGGGGGAGCACCAGGACAGAACTGCCCACAAAAGGCTCTGTATTTCAGGGGGCGATGAAACAGAAGGCCGAGGAACACTGAGATGAGGAACGTGCCTGAATCGCTTTAGTGCTTCTCTTGTCTGCGACTCACTCCTGGCACTTATCAAGTAGAATTTTACCTCATTGTCTTGGAAAAGGAAAGGAAACAAAACATGTAACCAAGGGCAGAACAGTCTTGGAAGGAAAATACAGAAGGGGCTCCAGTTCTCAACCCCAGGATGAACTAGCTCCATGACCTTGGACCCATCCTCTTTCTTGTTGGGTGCCTGCCAGCTGATTCCGACTCACAGTGACCACACGTGACAGAGCAGAACTGCCCCACAGGGTTCCCTGGACTGTGATCTTTATGGGGAGCAGGTCACCAGGTCTTTTCATTTCAGAGCCACTGGGTGGGTTTGAACCACCAGCTTTTGGGTTAGGAGCTACAACAGCTCCTATCCATCTTGTATTGTGTTGCCTTAAACCTTTTTCTTTTTTTAAATTGTGATTTGGGTGAAAGTTTACAGAGCAAATTCACTTCCCATATAGCAGTTCACATACACTTTGTCTCATGACATTGACTGCAACCTCCCACAAATGCAACAGCTCCCCTCCCACTTCTCCCCATAGTTACCTCTTCCCTGTGTCGATCCCTCCATGCACTCCTGCCCCCCCCCAGGTGTCTCCCTGTGCATAAATAGCCCTTCTTTCTCCCATGATTTATCTCTCCAAGGAGTGTCTCTGCCTAATGTAAATGTTCAGCTCATGTATCTGTCTTTTGTTTGGCTGGAAGCCACAGGAGTGGGTTCAACTGCAGACCTGAAAGGCATGTAGGGGCCGTAGTCTTGTTTGTTTGTTTTTACATATGGGAAAATAGGGGGCTGGTGACTTCGTCTCAGAGATCCTTGCCACAGTGGAATCTCATGGTTCCAAGTATGGTGTTGACTGAGGGGTTTGGTCTTTTACAACATGGGCTGCAGCCATGTTCTGGACTTGGGGGGCAGATCGGGAAGAGGGTTGCCGTGGCACAGCAAGGGTGGATGCCAAGGACACCTCAGGTCAGCCTGCAGAGTCAACAGTGCAGAAAGCTGAGCCCAGCGCCCTGGTTAAGTGTTGGGTTGTGATGTCACCCTAGAGGACACCACGTGTCCATGGCAAGGGACACAGGTTCTGTACTCAAAGTTTATAATATTCTTCGGGAAAGCTGTCCAAAGAAGCCAGTCCTTTCTCAGCAAGTGCACTGTTCGATGACATACACGCACCTCAGCCCTCTCCAGGACCAGCTTCAGAATTCCAGAGCTTATGGGAGAGCTGGTGGTGCAGGAATTAAGTGCTCACCTATTCAAGCCCAGCCCTCAGCTCTGCAGAGGAAAGACCTAGTGGTCTCCCATCGAGATGACAGTCTAGGAAACTTGATGGGCCCAAGAGGGTCGCTGTCAGTCGGGAGCGGAGTCCCTGGATGGTGCAAACAGTTAATGCACTGGGCTGCTAACTGGAAGGCTGACGGAGTCCACTCAGGCACCTCAGAAGAAAGGCCTGGCAATCTTCATCCAGACAATCAGCCATTGAAGGCACTATGAGGCAGTTCCACTCTGTCACCTGGGGTGGCTATGAGTTGAAATTAGCACACAGCAACAACATGTGTGACGTCATAGGGTGATTTTTGTATGTGGCAAGGACATGATTTTTTTTTTTTTTTTGTTAATTGTGATTTGGGTGAAAGTTTGCAGAGCAAATTGATTTTCCATCGGCAGTTCATACACATTTTGTTTCATGACACCGATTGCAATCCCTACCATGTAACAGCTCTCTTCCCACTTTCTCCCTGTGGTTACCTTTTCCCTGTGTCCTTCTTTCCCATGCATTCCTGCCCTCTGAGCTG